TCGAGCCACACGGATCGAAATGACCCACGAGATGAGTCTCAACTCAGAATCCAAAAAAAAAAAGAAAAGAAAAAAGATGTCCCGAGATACTGGAGAAAATGGAAGGCGGATCATTCCAAGATTTGATTAAGGTCCAGAACTCTGCCAATCGCGTCTCACTGAGTATCCCAGAGGTTAAACAAGAACCTACAACTCGCAAGCATCAAGATTCGGATCGAAGTCTCCAAGCAAAATCAGCTAAGACCCATGATCAAGTCGCAGAAGAATCATAGATAGGGATCTTGTAACTAGCAGTTGACATGCATATAAGTATTTAGTTCAGTTTCAATTTTTCTTTGGTTGTAATAAGGCGGTCAGTAAAGCAGGTGACAACAGCGACAGCAGTAACAACAAGCATTGCGATCCCATGGTAGTCTCAGCTACCGAAACTTCCCGAACTACATTGACCTGATTCCTGTTTAGCCCGGNTAGGTTCGATATTGGGCTTCGGTATAGATTCACTGTTTCGAAATAACGATGACTTTTTGAGGAAAACTAGCAGGCATTTTTTAGTTCAATAAGTAGTAGTTTTCTTATTAAACAGCCAATTTCATTTATCAAGTCCAAATAGGCTAGTTTTAAAAATCAAACTTGGAGGTCGTCAACATGAGTTTAGTATANACGCGACAATCGCTCCAAAAAAGAAATAAAAATAATAACAAATGGTCCTATTGTATAATTTTTGGATTTTACATGGCACTTTGTTAATTATTTATAATTTTTCCCATTTTATTTTTATTAAAGCAAATACAAAAAATGTATGTGTCATGCGTAATTTGAACCGGGATCCGTNATTTTTTTTATTATTTTAGAGACAAACGTAATAGAAATGTAGTCACTTTAGGATACCCTTCTAAAAATGAGATGAGTCTCGCCAAATAAAAAAATGCGAATTGCGGAGCCCTCAATAATTAACCATAAAAAATACTTAGAATTCGGGACAGGCCGTTTAGCGAATTTTACGGCCTTCCCCAAGGATAATAATACGTTAGACTCTTTAAGTACGGTTTAATTAAATTACATTCTTAAATTCGGGTGTGCATTGATGTGACCCAAATCAAAATCTCAACGAAGTCAAAATGTGTTGACAATCACGGGCGCATTGATTGTGACGTGGTTCGAGATGCATTTTTACGACGTTGCAATTCTATAAAAATAAATGATAATGATAAAAGCGGTTTAAACTTAATAAAAGCACGTAAGTCATAACATATATTTAAATCAGATATTTAGCCATTATAACAATTTAAGCGACCGTGCTAGAACCACGGGATTCGAGGGTGCCTAACACCTTCCCTCGGGTCAACAGAATTCCTTACTTAGAATTTCTGGTTCGCAGACTTCATTTAGAAAAGTCGAAAATTTTCCTCGATTTGGGATTCCAGATAAACCGGTGACTTGAGACACCAAAAACCAAACCTTTCTCAAGTGGTGACTCTGAATTAAATAAATAATCACATTTCGAATATTGTCACTTAAATTGGAAAAACTCCCCTCGCGCATTTAACCCTTCGGGGGCGGACGCGCAAAAAGGAGGTGTGACATTAATCATAAGTCCTTGTGGATACGATATCTGGACTTACAATCCTATATTACTTGTCGACCACATATACTTGCGTGTGCGTTTGAGAGCAATAAATATAGAAAACCATAGATACGACACGGAATTTTTTTTAAAAAAAAATTGAAACTTTTGATTTAAATTAAACCATAGAAATTTATATGGTTGTAAATTAATTCAAGTATACATTATAAAGATAAATTGTTTCAAAATAGAAAAAGATGACTTTTTCTCTGGGATTGGCCAAAAAGAAAAATATGTCATATAAATTGAGATAGATAAAGTAATTAACTTTATATTTAAAAATTTAATATTCATAAATGGGGAATCGTTAATTTATTTTTATTTTTGGCCTTAGCAATCCAGACGAAGTGTGACCATTAATTTATTTTTAAAAAGTACCCTTATTATAATTTTATATGTATATTGTACACGCTAAATTGACTATACATACAAAACACTTGTATCTATAGGCGCGTATTGAAAAAGCAGTATATATATAGACCTCAACTCAAACCTCTTCCCTCATCTCCTCTTCAACGCTACTTTTATCTTTCCACCTTCTACTTTCACCTCTGTTTCCAAAGAATATACAGATTATTACTCCTTGTTCTCTCCCTATAAAACTTCATCTTTCACATTATCTAACAAGACCAAGTGTTTGGATTGAACATTCTGATATTTATATCCAGTTTCTGGAAGTTCTTGATATTACATAATTGGGTATGTATCTTCTTTCTTTCTCTGTGTCTTTATCTTTGTTTCTTTTAATTTTATTTTCATGTGTTTATTTGAAAACACTTAGTTTTTTGTCTTCTCGGAGACAAAAATACTAGGTAATTTTCTTGGAAAAATTAAAGATTTGGGTTGAAATATGTATCTTTTGAATAGAGAGATAAATTTAGATGTGTAAGAATAGAAATACCAATTTCTTGGCTTGACCCTTTATTTTCTATGTCCTTATTTACAGCTGCACAGGCATAGCTAGCAACCTTTAAATGTGCTTCTTTGTATTTTCCACCTAATTTTGTAGTTTCATGTATTCTGACAAATTTTGATCTTAATAGGACAAAAGATTATATCTATGCATAGTTGTTGCTTCACTAGATAATCAAGAATCATTGGTGCCTGGAGGCATATGGTATTAGCTTCGATTGATACACAGTGACACCTCTCTATAACAGCCTCATTTGTTCTGACATTCTTTGGCTGCTATAATGAATTGTTGTCACAAAGGATATATATTATAACATAACATAAAAGTTGATTTCTATAAAAACATGACTTTTATAGTGAATCCTTGTTATATAAGGATTTGTTATAGAGAGTCTTGAGTTTAGATGTATGAAATTAAATCCTCTTCAATGGAACTAGATCTTGCCACGTAGATGTTTCTCAGCAACCTATATTTGGAGAGTTTGTGGACAACATAGTTTCTTTTGATTGATGGATTAGAATTAATAAGGTCCTCATATATTTAATATTGTGTAGGGCCTTTTCTTTATGGCCTAACCCCCTTTAATAGTTTGGTTTTGGTCAATCTTAGAATCACTTTCCAGTTTGGTCTGAGAAAAGAAATATTGCCTTATATAGTTCACAAGTTTCTTGTCTGCAGAATTCTATTCTAGTTCTTGTTTTTATAGCTTTCCCCCTTTTTCCAGGTTGCAGCTGTCTTATCCTGGAATCTAACCTTGTTCATCTTGGCATATTTTTTACAGGCATATATTAGCAAACAGAGAATTACATCAAGAAGCATACTATGGCCTTAGAGCAGCTTTTCCAGGAGCAAATAACAGACATCAACTTTGACGAACGCGATATTTCGTTGGAGAAGTGTAAGACAGTTGATGATGAGCTTGACGACAATGTCTCTGGAGGTTTTGAGTGTAACATATGCTTGGATCTTGTACATGATCCTGTTATTACCTTCTGTGGTCACCTTTATTGTTGGCCTTGCATCTATAAATGGATTCATTTTCAGAGTAAATCGTCTGAAAATACTGATCACCAACAGCCACAATGTCCTGTTTGCAAAGCTGAAATCTCGCAGAAAACTTTGATTCCACTATATGGTCGCGGCCAAACTACAAAACCATCCGAAGGAAAGGCCCTGAATCTTGGCATAGTCATTCCACAAAGGCCTCCTAGTCCGAGATGTGGGGGTCATCACACACTGATAGCAACTAACGAATCACATCCATCGCAGCAACTTCACAATCGAAATTATCCTCAGCAATCTCCAACACATCAACCTTATTCTTCTAGCTACATGTCCGAACCTATGCTAAGTCCTGGTGGCACGACAACAGGAGAATTGGTTTATGCGCGGATGTTTGGGAACTCATCGACTACTTTGTATACATATCCGAGCTCATATAATCTAGCTGGCAGCAGTAGTCCAAGGCTAAGAAGGCAACTAGTACAGGCTGATAGATCGCTTAGCAGAATCTGTTTTTTCCTATGTTGTTGTTTAGTGACATGTCTTCTCTTGTTCTGACCACCTTCTCCGCTGGTTCATACTTTGTAAAAATACTTAGTTATTGTAATAGATGATGAATATACGACTTTGCTCAATGCAACAAATCACCAGGCCTTTTAGTACTTGTAAACCTGACAAGCTGGAGGGACTCCCTGCCATATAGCAGAGAGGAAAGAGCAAACTTTGAAATTCTCAAACAAATTTAAATACCGTTTCTAGTTCACTATCTTTATGATAAGAAGTTATGTCTTTCTTTTATTTACGGACTTTTTTAATATGTCTGTCATTTTTTCTTTGTTAATCTTATTGTCTTTCTTTTATTTACTGAAAAGTTTCTTGTTACATCGGCTCTAGCACGTAGACCCTTGTTAATTTGTTGCAGCGCAGTCTTGGGCACTTAACCAAGCTCTTAATGAATGAAATCCACCTTCACCTCGTTACTATTCTTAACCTTTGACTAAGTGTTCCCTGTCTTCTATTCGTATCTACTAGTCTTGGCCTTGTAAGAATCCAAGTTAGAAAGGAAGAATTTAATAGACATCCTAGAGCAAATCCAAGTGTGGAAGGCACTCAAGGATATAACCTTTTTGCTTGAGGTCTTTTAGAGGTCATTTGATTTGAAGACAAATTATATTGAAATTAGTTATGTTGGTATTATTTTTTATTGATTATCTGGTATATTGTATTAATTATGGAATTGTCAATTTTAATGTCTCGTTCATTAAAGAGCCGAAGCTTGGTTTCCTTATATCATTTTAAAGCAAAATCCTAGTAAAGAAACCAATAGAAGAGATTGGCAGAAAACATTTAATTGGTCAATTTTTTTTACATCCCATTCATGGATGGTTCCTTTCCTTTTGTTTATTACAACCATGGTTTGGTCCCTTCTTATTCTATGGCTCTTCCATCAACAAAGTATGGGGTTGTCTATAGTAAAAGAAGAGCAGGGTATTCAGGTGAACCAAAAATAAAAGCAGAGCTAGAATTTGAAGTTTATGTGTTTAGAATTCTAATCCTTTTAAGTTATTGGATTATAAATTAATAATTTATATATATTTAATTAATATATTAAGATAAATACAAAGTTTGAATCAAAATCACAGAGTTCGCCAAACCGGTTCCAGCGCTCTAGCTTCGCCGTGAACACAAACAAACAAACAAAGTTAATAGTTTTCGCATGTATTGAATTTTCAACGCACTAGGGGCATGTGGATTGGAAAAAAATGGCATGCATTACACCATATCAAAATCAAGGCATCAACATCTCGAAACGAAATTGCCGCCTCTCATACATTTGTCCTTATCTTTGGTTAGGTTAACACCGGCAAGTGCTGTTGGATGGTGATTGCGGATGCAGCAGACGTGGCTTTTAAAATAATGTGTTTGGTATGACGAAATATAAAGATTATTTATCATTAAAAATATTATATTTTGGTATATCAAATAATTTTCTAGTGTCGACCGAGAACATATGATGATAATCTTACAAGATAGAGGATATGCTTAAGAATAGTAGTATTTGTTATTTATACTTTTTAAACTAGTACAATAGTCAACAACAATATGGAAGTTAAAATAGAATAAGATTTGGGAAATTCGTAAAGAGAAATGACGATCTCCATAAGTGACAAAAATCATGTTTTTCCTCCCCTTTCTGGCCATAGGCAACTAAATGGTTAACTCAGATCATGACTGTTTGTTTTTTCTCTGTTTGCAGACAATCCTAGGACTTAGAAAAGAAGAAAGGAAATGGAAAAAAAGCAAGCTGAGACTAGCTAATACTTTTTTTTATACGCCTATTTCAGCTAGTGCATACCTCAATTACTTTATTGATATTGCTATCTTCCGTTAGTACATATATCCAGTAACTTGGCATAATTAAGACTAGCTAACACTTTGTAACAATCCATCTCACAAGTGATATTGTTTCTTTGGACCTAGGTCCGCACGACTTTAAAACGCGTCACTTTAATCCAAAATTTATCTACTTATATACCCAGCATCTCTCTCGTGTTTTGTCGATATGAAATTCGCCTAAGGTGTTATACATCAGTACTTTACTTTTAACTTATCCTCTTGATTATCAATGGACTTATATCCCATTAAAGCAATTTTTAAAGTAATAAAGCCTATGGTTTCTTCAAACTCATAATTATATCTTTCCCTTAAAAGAGAACTGAAATTATTTGGTTGGTTGATGATTTATGAAGCAAACACTCGCTGTGTTCTTTTTCAAATATGGCAGACCTTCAACAATTACCTAAGGATTTCCACTTCTTAAAGTTAGTGTAACACTAAGGAAAGCATCTTACCTTTTGGCGTCTACTTTGATAAGTTGATGTCCACCTAATCCAGCATCACTTTCAATAAAGAAAGGAATTGTTAGCATTTCAACATCCTATAACTATGCCCAATTGTGATTATTTTGGACTCAAAATAGGTGAGAAAAAAAAAAGTTACATTTTTATATATAGCGTCACAAAACCTGGCGCTATACATTAACAGTAACGGCACCGTTAATGTATAGCGTCAGGTATTGTGGCGCTATACTCCTTTTTCTTGGTCCCACCAGCAATTCCTGACTTCAATAATTCAAAAGCATATAGTGTTGATTTTGGGCGCTATATATATATATTAAAAAAATTCCCGGCTACCCATTTCATATATAAAGAGGTTAGAATTGTATAGAAATTCATTCAAAAAAAAATTTAACTCTTGTTGAAACGTTTATTGTTGTTAAATTCTCCAACATTTTTTTATTATGTCTGAAGAGCGTAGAATAAGAGTTTCATTATATTGGAGGGGGGGTGAGGTTGTGATGGAGAATAACTCCGTGGGCTACAGTTTACCTGCTCAGTGTCATGTTAAATTGCCACTTACAATAGAGTACGATAAATTGATATCGTTGTTATGCAAAAAGATGAGTGTGAGGAAACGTTCAGTGATACTTAAAGTAACTGGAAGATATCTGTATTCCGTCACTCCGCAAGGGGTTACTTTTTACTCGGAGTTTAACATCGACGATGATGAAACTTTGAGTGATTTTCTGAGGACTTCGGACGAATGTCGGGAATTTCTTGTAATCACAATGTTGGAGATGTACATGAAGGTTGAAGCCGTTCCAAAAAATGAGGTTGTGCATAGTAGAGATAACCCCCAGTCATCAGGTGGTTATTCTGGAGCAGTTTTTGCCGGACAGGTTCCGGATGAAATAGTTTTCCTTGATTTAAACTTATCACCGCGACGAATGAGCTGCGAGAAAAAAATTTATACTCTGCTTTTCATAATTCACAAGACGAGTGGTAAACTTCAATTTTCATTTGTGTTAATTATGTATATTTTTGGCATATTGAATTTATATTAACGCTCATATATTTAATAGGGGGTACCGGCCGGATATGAATTTTACACGTGGCTCATCCGGTAATCATCACCTAATTGAAAATATCCATCATAGAATTTCATCACATTACGACTTGTAAGTGAAGTGATATAGCCATATGGAAAACATTTATTAATTCAGTAGCTTATATTTTTGTTGGTTGTGTAGTGAAAACGAGCAAGTTTAACCATTCGTACTCACTCAATTGACCGAAAATGACGTATTACATCGGGATCTGGCAGATGCACAGAGTGAGGAACAGAATAGTGATTATGATAACAATGTCGATGAATCCGGAGACGAGACACCCTTTTTTCGTGAGGATGGTGATGAGCAGGATGAGGAGGAAGGACCTGATTTGAAGAGAGACCCCCCTAGACTAAGAGTGTACGAGTCCGAAGTGCTGTTTCATTCAAGGGAGATTCCTTACATTGATAACTTGCCAACTATGCCGGATGTGGAAGCTCTCACAAGGGATTTTGATGAAATTTGAATAGCAATGTGGGATGAGTCTAGACCAACAGTGCTTGCAAAGGGGATGCTTTTTTCCGATAAAGCGCGCTTAAGCAAGGCTTGTAAAATGAAAAACGTAAAAGAGTGTCGTGAGATGCAGGTATGGGAGTCAAGTCCGATGGTATACAAGGTTGTTTGCCGTAGGTGGTTTTGGCCATGTAATTGGATGTTGTGTGCGACCAAGAAGAAGACAGGTATGTGGAAAGTGGTTAAATACATTCCCACCCACAAATGCGAAATGGACACATTCAACGGGAATCACTTCAACTTGGATATTGACTTGATTTCTCTTGTACTCATTCCGCACCTCAAAGCGTCCATAAGGTATACAATCAAAGAGTGCATTACATTAGTCCACCAGGAATATGGCCATACCATTACGAAAAGAAAGGCATTTCTCGGGCGCAAACGAGCGTTTGAAATTGTGTACGGTAATTGGGATAAGTCTTTTGCATCTCTGTCAAAGTACATGGCCGCACTGCAGCACTTTATCCCCGGGACAGTTGTTGAATGGAAGCTTGAGCAGAGTTCGAGAACACCAGAATACATATTCAATTACGTGTTCTGGGCCTTTAAGCCAGCAATTGATGGTTTTTCGCATTGCTAGCCCGTAATATCCATAGACGGAACTCATGTCTATGGAAAGTACGATATCAAGCTATTGATAGATGTGGCAGTGGATGCTAATGGACAGATATTTCCTCTAGCTTTTGTTGTTTGTGCCAATGAAAGCATGGAGACGTGGACGCTGTTTTTGAACCACCTGAAAGAGCACGTTGTCAAACAACGTTCAGGTATTTGTCTAATATCTGATCGGCACGGTGGTATATTAAGTTCTGTGGAGAACTTGCCTGCATGGCAAGAACCTTATGCATACCACCGTTACTGTGTGAGGCACTTTAAGGCCAATTTCCAGAAGGCACATCCCAACAAGGATCTACATGATTTGATGTGGATGGCAGCAACAGACCACCAACAACATAAATTNTGTGGATGGCAGCAACAGACCACCAACAGCATAAATTTCGAAGGCATATGGATTCTATCAGGCAAGAAGACGAGGCAGCCTATCGTTGGTTAATGGGACATGACCCTGAAAAGTGGACGTTGCATGCGGATGGTGGTAGACGATGGAGAATTCTTACTACAAATGTGTCAGAGTCCTTCAACAGGTTATTGAAGTCGGCAAGAGGATTGCCCGTCACAGCCATGGTGCGGATGTCATTCAAGCAGATGGCGAAGAGGTTTGTTGAACGGTCTGCAGCTGCAACGGAATTAATGGAGAGGGGTGTTGAATTTATGTCAGTGCTGATGCAGAGATTTGAGAA